CTCAATCTTTTTTTTTCCCCAGATAAGACCCAATCTAACCTCACAAGCTGTTGCTGCAGGGTTTGGAACAGGAGAACAGATGATAAGAATATGATCTTTTTCAATGTTTTTTGGGTGTATAGCTGTCTTCATTTGTTATCCACAAGGCTCTATTCACCCAGGAGGAAAAAAAAAAGCCATCAACCTCCCCTCTGCTTTTCCTCTGCCAAAATTAATGTGCTGACTTTGATTCTATAAAGGGAAGAGAGGTAGGTGGGACCAGCTCTTCAGGCATGTTGACTAACAAAACGTGAGTGCTATACACCGTGCATGGAAGGGAGCCCAATGTGGATTTGGGAGCTGCCCAGTTACACACAAGGTCCTTCATTGCTCAACCTGGCACACAGATATGGAGCTGTGCAACCCAGCTAGGAGACGGGGGAGACTAACAGCTCCTTGAATTCTCCCCTGTAATCTACCCCTATCACGTTCAGGCACTGGAGAAGGTATGCACTGTGGGCACTGCATAACACCAGATTGATAAAAGTTAATTTAAACTGGTTCAGGAAACAAATCTCAGAGCAATGTGCAGGCATTCATCCATATTACTATACACAAATAAAATTTAACTCCTTCCTAATGACACAAAAATAAGACTTGACAGTGATGTTTTACATAACAAAATAACAGATTGTTGCATATTCACTGAGTCTGTTACCATGGTGCTCAGCTATCCTTGAGCATACTGTCTAGAGCAAGAATGTGCTCGGGTATCCAGCACAGGTAAAAACCAGTGCTGGTTTTTAAAAAACCCAGCCCAGGACTGACATTGTACAAGTTGGGGTTTTTTTGCAGAGCTGTATGCTGAACTGCTTAGATCACTGACGTGAATGTCAGCGTGAAGGACTGTCATAAAACGTTTGGCACTACCACTGAGGCCATGGTACAGCAGAAAGAGAAGGCCAAACTATTTCTTTTTAAAGTATTTTGAAGGAAAGCGTGTTTCATCATCCAGTGACTTCTACGGATGGCTGAGGAACAAGGCAGTCAAGGAAATACATGCAGAAAAAATGTTGAAATACCTAGGCTTCTTCCTGATGAAGACATTTCTCTTGAGCACTGCAGGTATCTCAGTGAAAAACTGATGATCCAAATGCATAATTTTCCTTGAACTTATTACAGCCATTCCACACAGGTATTGTACTCATCACCAGTTATTCATTAAGCAACATGACTAACATCTGTCATGTGGTGTTTGTTCACTCATTATCTGTCTATGAATGAAGAAGTCTGTTGCAGTGGTATGCAGGTTGTTTTGGTAAAGGTTTTTATTATTTTTCATTATGATTTACTATGTGTTACTCTACACTCAGAGCATAAAATTGTTTTGTGTAAATACTTAAGCCAAAAGATATGAACAATCCCATGGAGAATTTTTTAACTTTCTACAAATGTCTCATATAAAATTCTGCATCATCTGAAGACCAGCCTTACCCTATCTGTGTGCACTGGACTGCATGAAAGAAGCCAAACTGCTTAAGGCAGTCACGATAGTATACCCCTCAACTTAGTTCAACCTTCCATGCCTAGATGTATAACACTTGAAGGCAATATTGAGGTGTCCAGATTTCAACAGATTCAGAAAAGTGAAAAATGCAGAGTTGACAGGCACTGAAAAGAGTCATCAACCAAGCAAAACCAGACTTCTAAGTGAAAAATGGCAGAGGCTTGAAGAGAGGCTCATAGTTCGTACTCAGTACAACATGCAGTCTTTGCCACTATATGACAGGTTTGCTTTGCCCAAATAATGTCTTTTAGTTGCTCCATCTGAAACATATTCTGACATTTATTCATTCATTTCAGGCTGTTCTAGGAAACATCTGTACAGCAAATATGTCTTAGACATACATCTTGGATGAAAGAGATTTCCTTTTGGACTGGACAGCCTGAAATAACGACCTATGCAAATAATACAAATGATTGATACTTGTGGTGTTGCTCACCACAGTGCTATCTGCTGGTTCTCCCTTCATTTTTAATGGGATTTAAAAGCCTGTGTGAGTGAATAACCCCAGCCTTTTCATTAACTTAGCCTAGCATGAAAAGCTGCGGGGCCTATGTGGCAGGTGCTGTGGGTTAACAATAGGGGTAGTGTTTAATCCAAGGGAAACAAAGAGGAGAAAAGGGCCATGAATAAAAGGATATGGGATCTGTTATGAGGTCAGGAGAAGCATTTTGGATCAGGAGGTACAAAGAGAGGCCAGCTGCAGAAAACATTTCTTCGTGCCGCACTCCCTTGGCCAGCAGCACGAAATTATACCTTTGTTCTGGAAAAGACAACAGAATCAAAGTGAAATATCTAAATGCTAGAAGTTTACTGATACTCAGTGGATCCCTTCTACTTGTAGAAGTAGTTGAGTATGATTCCTTAGGGAATTATTCTTCTGGACGTAGTTCCTTACCAGGTTCACCTCTTTGAAACTCAGAGAAACACAAGGAGACAGTCTAACAAGTGCAATAGCATTTCAACACAGGGAAAAATGGTATGTGATTTACAGGTTTGTTTTTAAACACTGACTCAGTTAACTGAGAGCACTAATTATGCAATCAGTGATTGGGAGTTTAGAGTGGAAAGTAGAAACGTTGAATCAAAATTGCAAACAAACTTTCTAAAAAATGTCTGAAAGTGGTTTTGCTTGTCTGTGCTCTATAAGTGCAGTGGGTTCAGGGTCATTCGTGTCATTCCTTGTACCTTTAAGATACTGTTTCAATGTATAAATGGGCCTTTAGAGACTTAAAGACAGATGGTGAAGAGTACAGTTTCAAAATTTAATCAAATACCTTCCCCTTACGAAGCACAGATGTTCAGGGTCAGGAACACGCAAGTGTAGTGTTGCTCTAACGTGTCAGGCTACTGATGCCGCTGTTGGAATAACCTAACCATTTGCAGGTGACTCAGAAGAAGGTGCAAGAGCACAAAAAGGAAAATTGTATCATAGTTTGCCTATTGAAAGAGTTCTTCAACACTTTCAGTCACTTGCCATAAGTATTTATACACCTTAGGATTTTGAACTTTACTTTTAAATTAGTGAGTGAAGCAATGATAGATGCTCACATTATTGATTTATGTGGCCAGTGGCTTTTCAAATTTTGCAAAGGTCTTGGGCCAAGTGATAACACCTGGGAATAATTTTCATGGGGTAATTGTGCATCATGAGATTCTTCTTTTCCTTTGAATTCAAAGGAAACTTACAACTTCATGAAGCATCCGCCCATTTTTACCTTAATAAAACAAGGTGAGTGTAGTTTCCTTATGACACTCATTATTTTTAAAATGTTTATTATGGTGCTTTCTTCTTGCTATTTCCTCTAGCACATATAAATGACTTTTTTTAAACTACTGCAGTTTGGCAATCCTTTTCTCTGCTTTCAAAAAACCGGGGAATCCCATGCAAAGACCGATCACTTAACATGCTTGTGGATTTTGTGGTTTCTTCAGTCTTGCTTTTAGGCTGTCAGGAACCTCTTGCAGATGTATTTTCACTGAGCACTATACACATTAGCATGAAGGACTGCTTAAGGGCCATGTAGTTTCTTGTGGGCATTCTGACACGAGCATCTATCGGGCGTGATTCAAAGTTTTAGAGAGCTGTCTCTGTACACCTTCTAATCAAGGCATGTTCCTCTCCCTTGTATGTGCTCTCCTTTTCATTTACTCATACTCTGTTGAATATTTTCTACTTGTTTCCTTTCCCCTTTCCATTCTCCTCCATTTCACCTCCTCCCGCTTCAACTATGTCTGCAGGAGAAATTTCAGCTGGCCTTTTTGGTTTGTTTACTCCAACTGATGTACCTGTATATCCCAAAATCCTTAGAGTTGATGCAATCGATATGAATGACTCTATTTCTTGAGTGTTTACTTCCTGCTGAGGGGGCTGGAAAAGGAAGAAAATAAGTTACCCGCACTTGTAAGATGATCCGTGTAAGATGAACTGCGTCCGCACCAGAAGCGCTTTGCCAGGGTGCATAACACACTGCTATGTACTCTCCCTGCCCCATTTAACGCCATTTCCAGCCCTATTAATTTAAAGCAGTCGGGTTCCCTTCCTCCTGCCATGAAGTGTGAACATGGAGCAGCGTGGGCTGCTTCAGACAGGGTGAGCTTCAAGAGAGCTTCAGCCTGGAAAGGATTTTGAGCGTCGCATGGAAAATCACTACCCAGTACCTCTCCCTCACTCCCAAACACACAGAGAGCACACACAGGAACTTTTATTAAAGGTATAAAATGCACGAAGAAAGGGAGATGCAGTGTCTGCTCTGAAGGATCTGTAATGCACACATCCGGACGACGTCTCAGGGAAGGGGTGAAATCTGCCGACAGACCTCTTCTCAGAACTCCTGCTCACCTTTCCCCCCACGTTTCCGTGCACCCAGGAAAGCCGCAGCCCTCGTTTCACAGCCTGCCGGCGTCGAAAACGAGAAATTACGCTGAACCTGCCGGCACGAGGGAAAAAGCAAAATAAAACTGAGCGACGCTACCCCTTTTTCCCCTGACTTAAGGGAAAACACGGTCGGCAACGCAGGGCTCCGGGCGCAGGGACCAGCCATGCTCTAGGAGCACATGGCCGGGACCTGGCTCCCCTCTCGGCCCCCACACGGGCTCCCGGCGGTCGTGCGGGCAAGGCGGGAAGAGGGGAGGTCGCAGCCCCGCTCCCCTTCCCCTGGGTGGCCCCTGGAGGGCGGGCGCTGGCCGTACCCCACCGCCGCTCTCCCGCTCCGCGGGGACCGCCCGTCCCTCGCCACGGGCCGGCTCCGGGAGCGCCCGGGGCGCCCCGCCGGCCTTTCCCCCGGCGGCGGCCCCGCATGCGCGGGCGGGAGGGGAGAGGAAGCGGGAGAGCACCAGATTCAAATCGCTGCTGAGGGAGGGAGGGAGGGGAGAGAACGGGGGGAAGGAGACAGCTGAGGGGAGTGGAGCGGAGCGAAGCGGAGGAGGGAGGAGAGAGGAGAAGAGAGTGGGAGGGGAGTGTGGAAGACTAAGGGAACGCGGCAGAAGCCGGGAGAGGAGGCACGGCGGACAGCGCGGGCAGGCAGAGCTGTCAGGGGAAGGACAGGGCTGCCTCGGGCACCCACGGCCGCAGCGCGGGGCAGCCGCCCCGGCCCGCCCGCTCGCCGCGCTCCGCCCGCCCGCCCTCTGTCCCTCCCGCCGGCACCATGGTGGATAGGGGCCCTTTGCTGACCTCGGCCATCATCTTCTACCTGTCCATTGGGGCCGCGATCTTTGAGGTGCTGGAGGAGCCCCACTGGCGCTCGGCTGCCGACGACTACAAGCGGCAGAAGACGGAGCTACTCAAGCAGTTCCCTTGCTTGGGCCAGGAGGGGCTGGACAAGATCCTGCAGGTACAGTGGGTGCCGCCGGGGCGGGGGCCGGGGCCGGGGGTGCCGGGCGGCAGCAGCAGCAGGTGCTGCCGGGCGCCCCGGAGCGGAAAATCCCGCGCCCGCGGGCGGGCAGGGAAACCAGCCGGCTCCCGGCAGAGCCCGACCGCGTCTGTGCCTTCACAAAGCACGGTGCCGAAAAACTGTCCCTCGAGCGGGAGCGTAGGAAAACCTCTTAATCGTTCCTAACTTTTTTAATGATAGAGCCAGTAAATGGGTCCGCGTTTCCTTCCCTGTGCCCCCGAGTGCTGAAGGAGCACAGGGCTGGTTTCGGTGCCGGCTGGCCGGCCCGGGGTGCCCGCCCGGAGCGCGCTCCCGCCAGCCCAACCCGCGCCCGTGAATGCGGCTCTTGTTGTAGCACCCGGGGTGGTTCCTTCTGCCTCAATGAATGGTGTGTTGCGGGGAAGGGAAAGTGAAGCCAAGTGTCTCGATCCTCTTATGTTTGGTCTGATTTTCTTCTCCTCTTTTTTTTTTTTTCCCCCCTTCCCTTACTTAAATGCTGAAGAGGTGCCTGGGGGTCTCGGAGGTCAGTCGGGGTAACTGGGGGAAAGGGTGCAGGGTTCGCATGGAGGGATGCTCGCAACTCTTGCGCTGTTATACTTCAGGAAACTCACTTCTTTCTAAACCGTAAGGAGCTGATAATCGTCCTGCCTCGCTCACCTGGCAGAATGTCTCTTCAAAACTAATTATAATCGATAACATGTATAAATTCCGAGAGCAGTATAAACTTGGTTAGTGCCTTTTTATGGATGTGGTATCTGTTAAAAAGTGGTGGCAAGCAATGGCGAACCACGAAAAGCAGGCTATACCCGGATATGTGGGGCTCTACTGGTGAGAATGAATCATTTGGGACTTTATTTCAGAAATGTTTATACGAGTAAATCTTCTGTTCATTGTGTTTTGGATTGTTTTTAAAAAAGTATATTATTTTATTTTGAAATTCATTAAAAGTCCGTTAAAATGCTAAAGTACAAAAGAATTGAAAAGTGGCTCATTAGTTCTCTTGGTGTAATCGATACAGTGTTGGCTTAGAAGAGTATGGGCTCCTGATCCTAAAAGTTTGTGGTTTAAGTTCTCTTTCTTCAGTTGGTGGCTGCCTTCTGTCTGTTTCAGATAGCAGAGCTTTCTGGTGGTAGTGTCCTTATTGTTACCATCTTAGGACCCTGTTAAGTGTGTATTTGTGGTATAAAGTAGAACAGGTGGATGGAGGCTTGAAACTATTAAGGGATGTTGGAAAATTAAAGATGTGCTATGCGTTTTGAGTATGCTTTTGCTGTTCTGGAATCTTAATGAAATCTTACTCTAGGTTATACCTCAAACCTGTTTTAAAGTCCTCAGGAGAAAAACTTCATTTGGATTGGATGTGCATGAAGGCTGGCATGCTTAACTTGCTGCAGACATAATGCAAAATCTATGTTCTGCCTCAATTTAGGATGAAATTCATGTTATGAGCGAATCATTAGTACTCTTTTCCCCCCTCCCCCCCTCCATGATCCCTATCACAATTAATTCTGAAGTGGCAGAAAAATTTCTTAAAATACAGGATGACAATGAAAAAATGTTGAGAGCCTTTCCTCTTCAGTATGTGTTAGCTCCTAGTGATGGTCTCATATTCATGTGGTTTGAGTTTTGCCTCTGTACTACTTCCAATCATATCCTACTTTCCATGTCCACTCGTGCTGGTCTGATGATCCCTCGTAGATATTCTGTTGTTGTCCTAACCTCAATTTAGCTAAAATGTAAGTCTTACTTTGCCTTTATTTCGCTCTTAATGGTTACTGGAAACTTTAATGCCTGCTTTCTTTCAGAGTTGTAGTTTTGCTCCTGTTCTTATTCAACTTCTATTTGAGAAGTGATGGGAAGTGGTGGAGTGGCATTTCTGACAGAAAAATGGCATGGGGAAATCTAACCTAGATGAAGCTAACTGTGATGGGAGAAATCATGTAAGGGCATCAGGATTCTGTCCTGAGTAAGTTGTAAAGCATATCAGAAATTGTCTTGGTCCTTTCTCACTATCAGAATTGCTTCTGTTGGGTTCTGCTGAATCTTTAAAACATTACTAACATCTGTTCTCTTTCACAAATCTTGATCATTCCCATATTAAACCTTCAAATTTATTCTCTTGTGATAAATCCAGAATGTTGCTGATTTGAAAATGGGCACTTAATGCCCCCTGTGCCCACTTTTGTCTTGTTCCCTTGGAGCCTCTTCCTCTAGCCTCTTCCATGAATTCCTTCAACTTGTTCTTGGGGTTTTGCATGGTTAACTAATTTCTATGCTGTTGTGGTTTTGTTTGTTTGTTTGTTGTGAGGGTTTTTGTTGTTTTGTTTTGTTTTTTTAACAAATGGCTTCATCTTGGAGCCTTTTCTTTCACTCTGCTTTTGGTTTCTACTGACACTCATGTCACTCTACAGAGCGACATTGAGCTTTGCTGTTATTTCACCGATGTTCTTTTTAATATCCCCATTTAAAACACACTGGATAAATTTCTTCAATAACTATCATAATTTTTTTTAGAATTTTAAATGGTTGTTAGTAAAATGCAAGGATGCCAAGGAATGTTCAAGTTGAACTAACAATACCAATTTTGTTTCCAGGAGCAGCCTGGAAGGTGACAAGGACTGACTTATTCAGAGACCGGTCTCTCTGCTGCCCTTGTTCCCCACCCAGGTTAGCTCGCGTGTTCCTTTGACACTAATTTTAGCTGTAAGTGCAATGGAAACTCTGTGTGGAATGACTACAAAACTAGATCTGTAGTATTAATCTGAAGCACTTAAAAAGGCAAGTAGATCATCAGCACAGATTCGCACTTAACATACGGACTGGTATCTCTATACCAACAGTTCAAGTGACTACAAAGTGAGTTGTATACAGTGAAATACTGTCTAAAGTTTGTATTCTGTAATAAAAAATTCACAGTGTATTGCAGTAGAAATACACTACAATAAATGTTTACTGAAATGTATTTAACACACTTTCAGAAATCTACAAGCAGAGTATTGTAGGATATGCTAAAAAGAAAGCCTTTTTCCCCAATCCCAAGAAATGCCTTAAAATAAACTAGTTTAAAAACAGCTTTTAGAAGTCTCTTGTGTGAAGAATCCATTTGCTTTTGATTGTTGTGAGTACCATATTACTTACCATAACTATAAGAGGTAAAGAAAGTACTTAAACAATCTTGGAGCAATGCTACATAGACCCTGATTTTAAAGGTGACTCACTCTGGGCAGTGTATAGGCTGGTTGCTGCCTGCCCATGTTCTTCTGGGTAAAGGTGATTGATCAAATGAAAATGTGGCTGAGATGTTTCACATGGCAGTTTATTTAAGCTTCCAAAGACCCTCAAACACAACTTTGTATTGACACAAGGAACTGTGTAATCTCTCCTCACTAGGTACAATTGCTTTGGAAAAGAAATGTCTCATAACTCTGTGGAATATCTGCAAAAATTAACATTTTTCATATTGATGTCATGGCACTATATTGTCATTGTAGAATCTTAAAAGTACTGTAATACCTTTGTCTGTTGATAAAATTCTATGGCTTGTCATTGCCGCTTGTTTCAGTGGCCCTGAGTCCTGGGGCTCTTTAGGAAGGGGGGTACAAAGCAGAGATCCACAGTGAAGACACCTTTGCTTACCCTGCTGTAGGAATAAGTTTTGAAGACCAAAGCAAATGTAAGGTGATTCAGTCATTTCCCTCTTCTCCAGCTCCTTACTTTTACTCTTTATTGCTCCATCCTGATTGTGAAACATCAGCTTAATGATAAAGGAGCTATTCATGCAAGGAGGTGCCCTCTCGACCCTCATGTCCATATTCACATGAGCAAAGGTTTGCCAACCCTGGGCCACGTCTTATTTACTAGGAAATCTTTTACTGGCCTGCTATGGTCATCAAAAAATTAAATGCTTGCCACTGATAAACATGAAGGCTGGTGAAAAGAAAGGGAAGAATTTGAAGATGAGTGAAAATGGTTACTTTCAAAACAGCAATAAAATGAAAAGAGAAACTGCTGGCTCTCTTCAGGGGAAACAGACAAACATACTGAGTATGAGAAGAAATAGTTGAGGTCTTTATTTGAAAAGCATACATGACTCTAAACAGGCCTGAAAGACAACTTTAGAAATCTAAATGTTTAGACCTAAAGGCCAGTGCTGTGAACAAACATTTGGAAGACTTTTAAGGATAGCTGCTGTTGGGATATACATGGCACATGGTTCATGCTAAAGGAAATAACAATTAAGTGGATTAATAATAGTTCCCCCCCCCTGTTTTTTAAAACCAAAATGTCCTCTCCATTCACAAGTACCTACAGGTACATTTACAGGATTTTGGTTTGCATTTGAGTATGCTGAAAATTGCTTCTAGATTTGTATATTCTTGGAATTTGTCTGTTTGATTATGAAAATCTAAAATATTCTCTGATTCTGAGCATTGTTTCCCATCTTGCTTTACTTTCAAGTTTCTACCTCAAGGTTTAAATCTATGTGCAGTATTCTTGAGAGTGTTTGCAAACTGTAGTTTTCTTAAAAACTTGAACTAGGTTTTAAATGCTCTTTGTTAGTTCAAAATTTAATAGAGATGAGGGCTTTTGCTTACATTTTGTATAGTGGGGTTTTTTCAACCTAAAGTTTATAAGGGCATATTTTTCGTAATCTCTCTCTTCCTCTAGACTTACTTGAATTTGTTGGTTTGATCTCTTAACTTCCTGATCCCTTCCATGGAAGGTCTTGATTGTGGGGTAGATAAATAGGGGTCTGAATTCATTAGCTGGAATGCCAGTTGACTTCCCCCTTTCAAAAGACTAAGCCATTTTCATAGGCTTAACAAAGTAAAGCTGAGCATCTATCAGACAAGGACAAGTGACTGCTAATGAAATATCTTTAGCAGCAAAATTGTTAATAACTACATCTAATAGCTCTCATATAAAAACTTGACAGTGTAAGTTAAAGCTTATGCCTGAAA